GGTGAAAGTGTTTCCAGGAGGAGGGAAGAATGAACTACATGGGCTACAGCTAATTGGTCAGGTAAAATAACGGAGGATTTACCATGGGATTTAGCAATGTGGAGGTCTAGACTGATCTTAATATTAATGTAAGTAACTGGCTGGCATGTGTGAGGTCAATGCTGGATTTCAGTAGGTTTCAAGAGAGAACAAGAGATTAGCAAGAGCAAAAGTAGACATTTCAAAGGAGTTGTGTTTTTTGTGTAAAGCGAAAGATGGAGGGGGACATGGTGACAAGGTAGGGTCCTTGTAGCTTGAAAGAAATATGCTGATAGGAAGAATTCACTAGAGAGAATGGGATGATGCAGAGGAGCGAGGAGGGGCTACGTGAGCAGCGTTCCTGCAGTGGCGCGGACGGGTGCCCTCCAACTGAACCTTAGCGCTTGTAACATGTTAGACTACTGTATTGAACATTTCATAATAAACAGTTGCTTCCTCCATATGAACACGTATAATTTAGGGGCGCCTGGGTGGCTCAGTTGATTAAACATCTGACTCTTGATCTCAGCTCAGGTCTTGATCTCAGGGTCATGAGTTCCAGCCCCTCACTGGGCTCCACATTGGGTGTGGAGCCTAGTTAAAAAAAGAAAGGAAATGTATAATTTAGCTGTCATTGCTCAGACTAGGAAGGTCCCTAATCAGTCTAACTCTACATGTGTCTGTGGCATTATTTGAGTTGAGTAAAATACAAAGAGTGTTTTTTAGGCCTCCATTAGCCAAAAAAAAATCTTTTCAGCTCCAGCTCCCATTCACTGTCCCTTTAACACTTCACAAGGACATTGATGAATTTGTATCTTAGGTTAGCTAAGAATATTATGAGCTATTTTTAGCAATGCATTCTCAAAGTGTATATGATGTGGAATGAATGACAAGACGTTAGACCAGTTTTTATGTATCCTTTATACACAGTAGCCTTGGAAAATCTCTCTCTTGTAGGTAGAATTGCCCTTAAAATGACAAATCTGTAGTGAAAGCACCTAGCTAACGATTCAGTCTCCTTTACAGGTTAAGGTCTGAGAAGGTACTAGATAGATAGCTCCTGAGTTTCTACTTACCGTGGATAAGTTCTTTCTCACAGTAAGCCTAAAAGGGTTTTCATGTAATTAATTAGAATTGACTTCTACAGCTTTGGGGTTTTATCATACAATTTTAATTCTTCCTGCATGCCTTTGGGGCCACTCTCATGTTATACCTGTCTTTCCATCCCAGTTAAATGTTGGTATTCTCTGCTCTTGTCTGATAGTGTTTTTAAGTTCCTTCAACATCTTCAGCTTTACCTTTTTCAGTGTCCCTCTTTAGATACCATGCTCAGAATTAACCATATAGTATTTTATGTATTGATTTATTAGTACAGTCATAAAACCTCTTCACTTTTTCTATTAATGCAGCTTATAATCACATTTGTTTTATTTTTAACTATGTCATTCTTATGAGACTCAGAAAAACTTAGGAAAGCCCTAAAACCAAAGGGGTTTTGTAATTATTTTGGAGGCTCAACCTGTGCCTTTGTAGTTATTTTGGGGGCCCAAATAGAGGACCTTATTCTTTTATTCCATCATTTTGTTAAATTCGGCTCTTTGTTCCAAGCTACCAATACATTTTTGAGTGTGTTCTTCCAACGTATTTCTATTTCTCAACCTCATGTTACCTCTAAAATTCATCCAAGTCATTGCCAAAAATGATGAACTGGACACAGCCAAAGACAGCCTTTTAGCACTCACTAAAAAATCCACATGCCAGATATTTATTTAACACATTCTATCTGCACTGTCCTTGTCGCTGGGAAATTTAAAATAAAAGGAAAAATCTTGAGGCGCTCACAGCCTAGTAGGAAAACAGATACATAGAGTACAGTTTTGCCAAATAATGAAATATGAGCAAGTAGATTGGGAGCACAGAGGAAAAAGCTCCTGAGTCTTTTAGGCGGAAACTTCCTTGCAGGTTGGTGGTTGTGTTGTCCTTTAATCAGAAAAGCACAAATCCATTTAACTGACCTGTTTCTATTTCCCCATCTTATTTGCAAGGATATGGTGCAAGACCCTGCCATGTGCTTGCTGAAATCTGGCCACATTTTATTTCCCACATTTCTCTTTTCTAAAACCAGCCTCATACCCTGTCAAAATAAAAGCAAATGAAGTTATTATTAGACTGACTTTTTAATATCAGTTAATTTATGTAATGTATATTAACTTACCATACATGCATAATACATGTGTAGGAGCAAGAGAAATGTGTAATAAAATAGAATAGACTCCAAAAACCAGAAGGAAAAAAATGGAGGCAGATCTGCAGGCTGTGAGACCCCTTGGTTGCCATAGTTGAAGTTCTGAGTTGGGCTTTGTGCTTTTGGATGGCCAAAGCAAAATGGAAAGCATGATGTTGGTCCTCACCAGCTGAGAGTGAAGTGGTTCTTGCTCTAAAGAGGAGCAAAGCTTTTGCTAAATCTGACAAGGGCGCTGTGGGGGCCCATCGTCTGTGTGCTGAAATAGCGGGTCATGTCCCGAACATATATTCTAGGCCACAAATGATTTCATCAGGACCATGCTTCCTAAGTTTTGTCACTGAGGAAGAAATTGCTCAAAGAAAAGATTTAATATTAAAGGTTGAGAAAACCTATAAAAAGGAAAGCTGTGCAAATTTGTTTGGACAAAATTTATGGGAGATAAGAAAGCTTTTGTAGGGACACACCTGTTAGCTTTCCCAGAACATGGTTCTCCCTCAACAACAGTTTGAGAAGTGTTGCATTAGGCTGTTGCTTACAGCATCCTTCATGAGAGGAATACCAGTCCCTTGGTAGATTAATAATATTTCTTACACAGCCATACAGAATGATTCTTTGATCAAATAAATATAAGAAACTCTGAATTAAACAAGGTTCTTTACTGGCAGACTTCTTTTTAATAAGCTAATGTACAATGTGAACCTCACAGAAGGAGTATTCTAAAACTTACTTGGCCATGGAGCCCTTTTTGGTGGCATATCTGTTCATGGATCATAAATTAGGGAACAAAGGAAATGGATATTTTGCAAATCCTTCAAACACCCTCCTCTAAGAGAAGGAACGTGGCAGCCACCGTGTCGTATATTTGTCAGCCCTGGCTAGGGGCACCTGTTGGGCTGTCCTTCCTTCTCGTGCTCTCAAACTCCAGGGCGACAGGCTCGCTCTCCCAAGAGCCTTCTCATTTGCCTATAACAGGAAGCAGAATACAAGTTCCCGTCCTGGCTTCCTCAACCTTTTTCGAGATGAAACTATGATCAGTGCAAGCCAGGCATCTGTGGTCCCATGGCCCTTTCGCCAAGTTAGACTTCTGGTTAGAGACCCCCATCACTGCAGTTGACTTCACTGAATTTCTCACTAGATCGGGGTTTACAATCCACTTTCTCCACCTGGCCTCCGTGCCGCGCACAGTCTCATTGTGTACTGTATGTCCCATATGTTTCTTTTATGAGTAGTCTTTAAAAACTATAAACAAGCAAAAAATCTTGGACAAATAAATAAAATCACAAATAAACTTAAGCAATAATACATTTTAAAAATAATGAATATTAAACTTTATTCATTTATTCATAATACTCTAGAATCACATTCAGTATTTTCTTTGGATATATGCATTTTATAATTGTAAATAATTAGACAGTTCTAATTTGATTAGTTTTGGTTTACTGTAGGAGTCCCCAAACCCTAAAATGTAATTAATATTATAATAATGGTGTATGGTGGGGCACCTGGGTGGCACAGTCATTAAGCGTCTGCCTTCGGCTCAGGTCATGATCCCAGGGTCCTGGGATCGAGCCCCATATCGGGCTCCCTGCTCGGCGGGAAGCCTGCTTCTCCCTCTCCCTCTCTCCCTACTTGTGTTCTCTCTCCCACTGTGTCTCTCTCTGTCGAATAAATAAAATCTTAAAAAAAAAAAAATAATAACAGTGTATGGTGACAGATGGTAACTACACTGATCACGGCGAGCACAGCGTACCGTATGGAGTTGCCGAATCACTACGTTGTACACCTGAAAGTAATATAACCTTGTGTGTCAGCTATGCTTCAACTTAAAAAAAAAAAGAGCAAGTATTGCATAACTGATTTTTTTTGAAGATTTTGAGAGAAAGAGCAGGGGACAGAGGGAGAAGTTGAGAGAATCCCAGGCAGACCCCCTGCTGAGAGCAGAGCCTGACATGTGGCTCAGTCCTACAACTCTGAGATCATGACCCAAGCCAAAGTCAAGAGTCAGTCCACCAACTGAGCCACCCAGGGACCTCGCATAACTGAGTTTTAAAATAAACTTAAGCAAGGGCGCCTGTTTGGCTCAGTCAGCTAAGCGTCTGCCTTCGGCCCAGGTCATGATCCGATCGAGCCCCACATCGGGTTCCCTGCTCAGTGGGGAGCCTGCTTCTCCCTCTGCCTCTGCCCCTGTTTGTGCTCTCTCTCTGACAACTAAGTAAATAAAATCTTTAAAAATAAAATAAAATAAAGAATACCCTAATGAATATTAAACTTTATTCATTTATTTATAATACTCTAGAATCACATTCAGTATTTTCTTTGGATATAGGCATTTTATAATTGTAAATCCATATATCTAATAATTTACATGCTTCTCTCCCCCTTAAATCCTTATACACATTCCCTTATATTGTCATAGACAACAATATACTTGTAAACCTTAATATGTACAAAATCCTGGAATATTATCAAATTCCATTTTGACAGATTTGAAGCCATTTTGACAGTTTTGAAGACACTTTTATTCAGCAGTTGAGTCTTTTCAAACTTCTTGCAACTTCAAAGGGGTATTGATATCATATAAACTACCTTTTTTTCTAATTTCCTTGGGCTGTATTCTCATGGGAAATGGTTGAGAATATAATTAATATGTCTATATAATAACATAATATCAATACAATTAATTTTCTAGCTTTTGTGTGACAGTAATTTTCTAAGCTTTCTGTTCTCTAAATTCTAGGTCCAGGAGCTCCACGAAGAGGAGGCACAGTGGGTGAACTATGATGAGGATGAATTGTGTGTGAAGATGCAGCTAGCTGACGGGATCTTTGAGACCTTGATCAGAGATACTATTGATGTTCTGAATCAGATCAGTGAGAAACAGGGGAGAATGCTACTTGTGTGACATCTTGCAAATAAACCGAACACTGAGTGCTAACATGAGTCCTGGGCCTTTCTGCCTCCTGATACACACCCCATCTCCATCATAGCAAGAGCGCTTCTGGACTTGCTACCTTTCCTTAAAGACTACTGGTTTGGAGTTCATGGGACAATGCGGTATATCTGGTATGGCAGCCCTTGCCTTTAGAGACTGCCCACTGGATTAGCTGGTGACTTTCGGTGGGCAGGGTTGCACTCCTGATGTTGACACACAGTATAATCCTACACCTCTGGTTAACACCCCTACTGGGTCTCAGATACGGGCTGAAAACACCAGACTTACCTCTTAGCTTAGACGAGGCTATCACTTCATTGAGTCTGAAGTCAGGCAGGAGAGGTATATAGAATTCTGCGTCCTACCACTTTTGAAAAGTAATCCTGGTCTACACCATGAAAGTCATAAGTGGACATTATAGTCTCTAAACAGTATTAAACCCCTAACCACTTCTAAATAGGCAAGTCTAATCACGTGTGCCTATTTCACATTCTGGAATTCATTTCATTTCTTTTTGAAGACCATTTTCTTCCATTATTGCAGTTGAGCAGCACCAAGTGGACTGTCGAGTTAACAGAAATCAATGGTAGCCTTGCTTTCTGAGCACCATCTAAAGAATTTTAAACCTTTGCATTATTTTTAGTTTTCTCTGTGTGGGCATGAAAACAAAGAATGCCCCCACTGAAGACTGGGCTCAAAGGACTGATGCAGGGCTGGTTCTTCTACCCCTTCTTCTCTCCCTGCACTTTTCTTACTCCTTCTGAACCTCTGCCAGCTGCTCCTAGAATCACAGATCCTCAGGACCATCTCAGGCATCCAGGCATGGCAAAAGTGGAAATAATTCATTTTGGCCTTCAAACTCTCAACTCCCATCTCTCCCCAAGAAGTCAGAGACGCTGTTACTTGAATGATTTAGGAAATGAGTGTGTGCACCAAAGACAAAAAGATACTGTCTATTGTTCGTGTGCTTGTTTTGCGCTATGGAACGTTTTTTAATTTATTCCGAGATAAATTATTAAGTTGAAAATGTGTGTCCCTATTCAGAAGTGAAAGATTCTTCTTGTAAAAGTTAAACCTCTGTCTTGAAGCTTCTGTGGTTCATAGTCTTTGCACAGGAAATCTCCGGTTTTAACAAACCCATACACATATTGAAGAAGGCAGTTTAATTCAGTGAAAAGAAGATGAGCTTTTCCAGGATCACCTGCAGTAGCAGGAATGGAATCAGAGGATTTCAAGACACTGTATAATTCAGTTCTGCCTCTCTTGCAGCATTGCTTCTCACAACTATTACCTGTACCTGAAAAAATATATATAGACTCCAGCTGCTACATTAGAGCATACGTGATGCTCTCTGGGACCTCAGTACCCTGCCTTCCTGACTGGTTTCTCTTTATCAGTCCTGTTCTTCTTCAAGTAATCTAGAAGAATGTGGACAATCTTAGGCGTGAATGTAAATGCCTTAATACTGAAGGTCCTGATTAGAAGCATGATTTAAGACATCCACTGGATTCATATTTACAAATATCCTGGAATGTTATAGCTTCAAAATACGTTAGAAAAACCCCAAAGATGGTATAATCTTTTAAGTGTGCACGTTCGTTCATTTCTGCATCTTTCCTCCCAACCTGCCTTTGCGTCTCAGATGTTTCACTATGCACACTTCCATTCCTCCTTGGTTTCATCTTGTCATTATGAGAAACTTATCGAAATAATCATTGGAATATTTGCATTTTGCACAATGACTGGTATGATAGCTCTTGACAAATAAGGAAAGCACTGAAATGTGATTGGGTCTCGGGAAATGCGCAGATTGATGTATCGCCAGCATTTCTTCTGGGCTCTTGCTGTTGAGCTCTAGTCTTGTAGCCATAATGAGCAGATGGACTAAGGGAAGCTAGGGTTTCTTGGGGTTATTAACCAGTAGTGTGGAGATGTTGTTTTCACGTTGGCCAAGGAAAAGCAAAGGCCTTTCTTTTTAGTTTGTGTTATTTGAAAGACAGAAAAACATCTTATCTACACCCTTTGGCTGTTTGTAGGATTACATTGTCCTTATGATACTGAAACTTTACAGCTGCTATAAATTTTTTATAAGTGAATATAAAAATAATATAATAGGAATATAGGTTGTTTTTCTACATTCTCATTATTTGGACCTGAGTCGATTTTTAATAAGAAAATTAATCTTTACTCTTTATGACATTATGATTCCAGAAAAGGAAAAAAAAAAAGGTTAAGTGTGTGGAGTCAGCTATCAGGACTTGGGGTTCCATGGTGAGGATACGGCTGGGACCGTGTGTTGGCCCCCCTCACATGCTCCCACTGTCTCCCCTGTCTTCAGAATCCCGGGCTCCACATGAGAGGCAGCCATCGGTCCGTCTTACTCCTTGTTAGAAATGGTTGTCCATAGTTTGGTAGCAGAAAACAGAGGAATCTAGAATTAGCAGATTTCTTATAATTTTAACTATTGGATATAATTGAAAAGGTATTTATTGTTAGCATTAGGACCAGTGACTATGGATACCCAGCCACTCGTTCCATATTGGGATCTTTTTAATCAAGCTCTGCCTCTTAACCAAGAATCTAAATATTCCCTCTTTCTAATCTTTGTTCCTTCTCCCCACACTCCCATCCTCTTTCACTCTTTCTTCATAATTCCTCTAAGAAAAAGATCTTTGCATCAGCAGTAATATCTTTTAGAATAGCACTATCAGAATTAAGTAGTAAACCAACATAGAGGCTTCAGATTTAGTTCTGAGTCCAAAATAATTTGTGCTATCCAGGGTACTGAACTCTGGGTTAACCAAGTACAGGGTATAGATTCCCTCTTCAGGTCTAAACAGGAATTTTTATTCTAGGGAAAAGTGGGAAGAGCTCAAAAGTAGTTAATAAGGAAGGTAATTGGTTTTTCTTTTACCCAAAAGAAAAGAAAATTCCTTCTGTGACTACAGGTCTCTGAGAAATTACCTTTCAAAAGAGATTTCATTGCTCATAAGAGTGTTGTGGCCTATTGATAAAAACAATTTTGTTCACTTTCTTGTCTTGAAAAAAGTGGCCTTAGCTTTTTGCAATACTTGAATCAAGTGTGTCCTCACACAGCATTGGAGACTCTTAACTTTTCTGCAAGAAGTTCAAACTTACATCTTCTTTTACTACCTTAAGAATACTAGTGAAGAAAACATTAATTCAAAGAGCAAATGATAGAAACTACAATGATGTTTAATGCAAATTGTAGGAATTTACATGTTTACAAATCATCTTGAACTGGTTGTGCAGCAATTCAATAAAATATCTTTGTATTATAAAAATGTGAAGAAAACAATGTAAACTGATGTAAAGGAGGTACTGTCATTTTAATTAACCTATGTTTAATAGCTTTTCCTTCCGGACTTTGCAAAGCCTTCTTGGTAAACACATTGCAAAGCGTTCTCTGGGAGGCCTGGCCTCCGTGTGTGTACTGTACTGTGCAGACATGAAAAACAAACCCGTTTACTGTGTATGTGTAAATAGCCTGCTCATCAGGCCATTTTCAGCCAATAGTCACATCCAGTGCAGCTTTGCACAGAAGACTTGGGGTGTGGTTTGTAAGTATGATCTGTAAAATAACTGGGATGAGTTCCCATGTATACCTGTGTAAATAGATTTGTTAACTGAAATGTACTTTAAGAAAAAATAAAATCTGTAAATAAACTGATTTATAAATTAAGTTTGTGTCCCGTGTCTGTTTTTTCACCTGAGCCGAGATTAGAAGCCAGTCCCCATGAACTCAGGCAGCAGTGTGAGGGGAGCTGAGTGCGGGAGCTGTCCCCTCTGTTCATAAACGCCATCGCCGCATACACCCAAGCAGCCTGGGCTCTGACATTCGTCACTCGTGTGTACGGTCCCTGAGCACACCTTCATGTTCTGAGCACTGTGCCGAGTGCTGGGCAGGTAGTGGAGGCCACAGCCATGGTCCCTGATCTCCTGGAGCTGAAAGTCTAATCAAAGAGTCATCAAAAGAGAATTTGAAAAGCAGTACGTGACAAATCGCAGTAAGTGCTGCAAATGAAGCACACGTGGGGTTTGAGCATATATAATAAAAAGAACCCAACAGGGGTGGGGATGGGTCAGAGAAGAGCTCCCTGATAAATTATAACTCTCTCTTCTATATTGATGGGCTGCTTCCCTGTAATTCATGGCAAACATCTTTTTTCCCAGATGACTTGAATTTTGATCACCCTTGCAAAATTACACACAGAAAAGTCACACACAATTAAGTGGGCCACAAAAAAGAGCAACCATCCGATAACTAGGTGTGGAGGCTATAATTTATTTCTAGAAATACAAGCTTGGAGAAGAATGGAGCTAGAGATCTAGAAGAATAAAAGAATTTCCAAGATGGAAATGTATGGCACTCAGGGTAATGAATCCTCTCTAGCCCAACAGATTAGAAGTAACCACCATGGTCTCCCCTGAATTCTTCTAGGAGCCTCCTGATGGCCATCCCTGCTGTGCTTTTAACCCCTACACAGCCATGAACATTAAGGGAGTTCTCAGGACTGACCCCAAATTGCTGCAGAGTCTAAGAAATCCTTCTGACTCCCAGAATAGATGTATGAGTGTCCACTGTGTGCCAGATACTGTGTTTGGTGCTTGGTAGACACAATAGTAATGACAGGTTGAATCTTGGGAGGGGAAAAACCCAAATATATCTTTATCCTTGAATGCAAGTATGTGAAAGTGGTAGCTAGCGCTGGTAGATGGCAGAGCTAAGAATGGTGAGCCCAAGAGCGGTGAGATCTACAGTAGTGAGTGCCCGCAGAAGTGAATGCTGAACTAGCCAGTGCCCTACAAAATCCCAGAAAAGCTCAGAAATCGAAGGCAGTGACTGCCACAGAAAAAGGTGTGAAGCAGGGGGACTGTTCCATCACTTACTGGCTGGCCAGGCTACGCGCGGCCAAGGCTAAAAGGCAGGTAAGTGGCATCCAGGGAAGAGATCAGGACGCGAGATGAGATCACTGAGCACAGACAACAGCACCCCAGCCTCAAGTGGGACAGCACTTCCTT